AGACCGGGACACGGCGGTGAGTTTATTCCGGAAAGGCAAATTCAAGGAGGGGGGCAACGACGTGTGGGCTAAGCCGGACCAGTCCCTCCCAGACCGGGTCATTTCGAGCTTCGTGTTTGGGGTGAAGTATTTGCTTAAACAATGGGGTTACGCTGGTCAGTCTGTCTGGGCCGATCCTGTGGAGGGCAAGGTTTGGGTTGGGGATGACATTGCCATTCAGGCCAGCATCATTTCCGACAAGTTCCACGTTCAATATGGGCGAGGGTGGGAGGAGTGGCTCACGGACTCCGAATTCCCTGACTTCCCCGAGCTCGTGAAGAAAATGGCCGGCAAACTCGAGAACTTCTCGACCAAGGGATCCGGCAAAACCGCAACCAAAGGGAAGTGGAAGGGGAAGGGCGCCCACGCCATGTAGGGGTGCCAGCGGTGTGCAAGCAGAGACGTTTCACCCCCGAGTGCTTGGGATCGTGTGCCTGACTTGCACGTTCTTCAGGACGCTCTTGATACCAACACCCTTGCAGCTGAAGCGGAGCAGCCTGGTCAAGCCAAACTGCCACTCGCCGCATGCAGGGGCGGACGTTTATTCCCCTCAAATTCAGAATTCACGATTGCATCTTGGAACATAGAAGGGCACACGGATTCGAAGCAGATCGAACTAGAGATAATCATGATTGATAACGAGATCGGGGTGCTGTGCGTACAAGAGACTTGGCAATTGAAGTCCAACACGTTCGTGACAGAATCAGGCTTCTTGGTCATCATGTCGGGGGGGATCGACGGAGATAGCGGGAGAGCCGGAGTGGGGTTCATAGTGGCGCTTTGGTTCTGGAGATCGGTAGTGGGATTCTGCCAGGCCGACTCAAGAATGGCGTCTTTGAAAGTACGCGTCCCTGGAGGCAAGGCTGTTGTATTCTCGGCATATGCGCCTCATAGTGGTAAGCATTTTGATCAAAGACACATTTTCTTCCATGACCTGGCGGAATTCGTCGAGTCCAAATCGGCACACGGACCCAAATTGCTATTAGGCGATTTCAATGCGAAACTTCATTACTGCATGGATGGTGAACACGCTGTGGTGGGCGAGCACGTCCTGCTGAGCCTGGGCACGGGGTGCAAGGACGATGCCAATAGACATTTGCTTGTGGAGACGCTCACACATCTCAACATGTGCCTGGCCAACACTTTTTTCGAGACCTCGATCGACGGCCTGGCAACCTGCTACAACGTTGGCACGAAAGCAGGCGCCCCGGTCAGCGGTCAGACTCACTCGCAGATCGATTTCTTCTGTTGTGGGCAGGGCTGGCTGCATAACGTCAGAAGTGTGACTTGTTGCCCAGAGGCGCCAGTATCATCGCATCACTTCTGCCGCATGCTTCCGTGCGTATGGAGGTCGACAAGCGCTGCGTGGAAGAACTGGCATGTCGCCGTGACCACGGCGCCCTGGCCGACAAGAATACCAGGCAGATCTTTGCAAGATGTCTGGGCGAGGCTTGGGACAGCTACGAAGAGGCCTTCCCGAACGACTCTGACGTGAACCTGGCATGTTGCCGAATGGTTGACGGCTTCGTACATGCGGAGACGACTGTCTTGCCGCAGGAGCCGATTCGCCCCCGCAAACCATGGATCAGCAGCAGCACGTTGGAACTCGTGCGGTTGCGGTATCGGGCCAGGCGGGGCGCGGATGCCCCGCGAGAGCGTGACATAGCGAAACGAAACCGAGCTTCCGTGGCCAGAGACATGGCGAATTGGCTAGAGGATGTAACCAAAGATGGAGATTGGGCACAGATCCGCAGACTGCGCAAGGGCCGCCAGCATGCCCAGGGAAGACTTCGCACGAACGAGGGCGAGCTGGTGGACAGCGACCGCAGGGCAGATACACTTGCGCAGCACTTAGAGACAGTGCAATGGGCCGCGCGGCCTACGACAGTGCTGCCGGAAGGCCCTGCGAATCAAGCTGTTTTGCCGTTCAACCTGGACATCGTCACTGACGAGGAGGTTCAGCGAGCCGCCCGCAGACTGAAAAACAAACGATCGGGCGGCTTGGACGGCTTGCCACCCGAATTCTGGAAAGCGTCTGCTGAGGATGGACAGCCAGCCCTTGCATGGGTCACACGTTTCTGTAGCGTGGTCTGGTCGCAGGCAGCGGTGCCAGACGCACGGCGCAAATCGCGGGTTCGCATGATCCACAAAAAGGGCGACCCTGCAGTTTGCGACAATTACCGGCCGATCAGCTTGCTGCCGATAGGGTACAAGGTCTTCGCGATGATCATGCTACAGAGGCTGAAGGACGCGGGTGCAGAGGACAAGATTTGGCCCACCCACTTCGGCTTCCGGTCCAAGCGCGGTACCTCGGACGCGATCTTCGCGGCCAGGAGGGTGCTCGAGGACGGGTGGGCCACGAAGGAGGGGGCCGTTCACCTACTGGCGCTCGATTGGGCGAAGGCTTTCGATTCCGCGTCACCCGCAGCAATGGAGACATCGCTTCGGCGGTTCGGGTGCCCTGCCAAGCTCGTAGACCTGGTGAAGGCGATCTACGAGGACAGAAAATTCGTCGTATCTGACTTCGGCTCATCATCCGGAGAGCGGCGGCAAAGGTTCGGTATCTGCCAGGGGTGCCCGCTGTCTCCATTCCTGTTCACCATCGTCATGGCGACGCTGCTGGAGGATGCGCACGCTCGGCTACGCAGGCGAATGCCGGACATTCCCGACGCGCACTTTTTGCGATACCTGGTGTACGCCGATGACGCGCTCTTGATGGACGCGAACCCTGTCGTCGCGCAGGAGCTCATGTCCAGCGTGGAGGAGTGCGGGAAGCAGGACGGCCTGAGCTTGAACTGGAACAAAGTGGAAATGATGAGAGTCCGCTCAGACGCACACGTAGTGAACAGCGTTGGAGACACGGTGAAAGAAAAGGAGGCCTTGCTGTATCTCGGGGCCCACATCTCGTCAGACGGCCGTAGCGGCTCTGAGTTGAATCGAAGATTAGGCGCGGCAAAGCAGGATTTCAATGTGTTGCATGCAATCTGGTCTCACGCAACATTGTCTCGGGAACGGAAAGTGCAGATTTTTAACGCATGCGTCGTCTCAAAATTATGCTACTGCCTTTTCGCCGCTTGCCTGAACAAATCAGAGCGGAAGAGGCTGGACGGATTACAAATCAGGTGTTTAAGACGGATTTACAGAGTGCAACCGTCGCATATAAGTCAGTCGCGTGTCTAACAGCGCCGTGCTGAGCATGGCCGGCGAAAGGCCGCTGAGCGAGGCCATTGCTAAGCGACAAATGATTTTCTCAGGGCAGCTCGCGAGGTGACCCTGCAACGATCCTGCGCGATGCTCCGTCCTACAGCCTGGCGGCATTGAACCGCGATTGCCGACGGGGCCTCGCAAACGAGGGCGCCCCCGACCGATGTGGGGCAACATGGTTCTGAAGAACTGTTTGAGAATAGCCGGCACCCGCGGCCGCTTAGCTGATTTCTTCCGGCCGGAGGCCGGTGCAGCAGCGGCGTGGGAGTCGGCGGTGAAAGCATGGCGCGACTGACCGGTCGCTTGTCCATTTTGCGTGTTTCCTGCTTGTGCACCGTCTGGCGCCACGCCTATCTGACGTTTCACTTTGCTCACGCACCGGCCGGTGCAAGGCTTATTTGACTTGACTTTTGACGATGCTGAATCGTGCCAGAACATCAATCCCGGGACTACAACGACGCAAATCAATTTAATTGTCGCGCCTTGACAGTCCTAAATCATGCACAACCATCATTTCTGGGATTTCAACCATCTGATTATCTGAGCTTGCTGTACATTTTTGAGACGACTGTGCGCGGCACTAAGCCGAGAGCCATATTTTGAAGACGAGCCGCCCTTCACCCGTTAAGCTCTTGCAATTTGTTAAGACGAATGTGCGCGGCGCTATGGCGAGAGCCACATTTAGAAAACGACCCGCCCCCCATCCGTGAAACGTCTGCAAGCTTGTAGACGAATCTGCACGGCGCTAAGGCGAGATCCAGATTTGGGAAACCACCAGTCCCCCAGCCGCGAAGCTCTTGCTAACTTTCGATACCAATGTGCGCGGCGCCAAGGCGAGAGCCACATTTTGAAAATTGCTAGCCCTTCATCCGCGCAACTGTTGCACATTCTAAACTTCAGGATCACAAATGGTGAGGAAGTATTGAGGGTAACGCCCAGCCCGCCCCACCCACCCGTTTCGGGGTGCGACAGAGAGGAATCATTTACAAGGAAAGGGGATAGAGGAGGAGGAGGAGGGAAGAAGGATTCTAAGCGAGGTCTCTCAGCGACACCCACACTGAGGCAGAGGCTCCATGCGCCGCCTCAGGACACGAGCCGCGGCCAGCGCCTAACAGAGGGGAGGGGAAAGAGGAGGGTTCGGGCGAATATACCCCCCTGGTCGGGCGTATCCTGGGCCCACGATAGGTGTATACGTCCTCCTGGTTTGGCCAGGGATGCATGTACACCGATCCTGGGGCCAGGACGGGCTTGGCCAGGGGCGGTGCATATGTGTGTCGATCTCGTCGCCCTCAGGATGGAGCTCAGTTGGACGCGTGCTTTTATAAGCCTTGACGCTGCTTTTCCGTGAGGTCCCCCGGCCCCCTGCCTTTGGCTCCCGCTGCCCGCGCCACTCCACCCATCTGAGGGCCCCATCTCGGCTCCTTCCCAGCCTCCTTCCCATCCCGCCCCCCCCCCGCTCCTGCTTCCCCCCCCTCCCCTCTCCCCCCCCCCTCCCCTCTTCCCCCCCCCCTGCCTCCCTTGCTTTCCCCCCCGCCCTTTCCCACTTCCCTTGCTGCCTGCCTGCCTGCCTCCTTGTCGCTTCCTGGGCCGCTCCCCCGGCGGCTCACAGCCGGTCTCCGCCGGTCTCGCCGAGCCCTCGGGCTCCCCGATCTCCTCCTCCTCCTCCTCCTCCTCCTCCTCCCTCCTCCTCCCCCTCCTCCTCCTCCTCCTCCTCCTCCTCCTCCTCCTCCTCCTCCTCCTCGTGCGCATCGCGCGAG